GAGTATACCATCCAATCCATCTGGAGTATACCATCCAATCCATCTAGAGTATACCATCCAATCTATCTAGAGTATGCCATCCAATCCATCTGGAGTATACCATCCAATCCATCTGGAGTATACCATCTAATCCATCTATACTACCCAATTCATCTGGGGAACATCATCCAACTCATCGGACTTACCTAACTCGTATTGCTCCACATACTTTCTAGTCTCTAACTTTTTGAAATAAAATTGTGCGAGGCTCTTGGCTGCTACCGTCGCGGGAGTACCTTTTACCCACGATAGCTTAATTAGATTTTCATTGTAGGTATCTGAAAGTAAGATTTAAAAGGAGTGTGCGTGAGTAGGACGTACCTTCATAGACGTACTCTATGATGCGCACGGTGAATAAATTCATTTAGAAAATAAACAGAAAATATATTTCGTTGATAATGTTATCACTTGAAATTGTTATATATTCACTTGCTAACAATACACACGAGTATACATATTTAGATATGGAAATGCATGAAAATGGGTAGCTGTTCACAGGAGTGGACAGCGGTATACTCGCGTGTGTGGGAAACGTTTTAAAACGCGTCAGGTAGGGTGGGGGAGGGGGGGGGTGGGGAGGTCAGAACCAGTTATTATTCTTAGCACTTAGAATAGCATTATGGCAAACGACAGCCGCTCAAACGATAACAGCATTCGAGAATTTTGACCAGCAATTGCAATTCAATTTTCAGGCAATATATGTTATCAACTTATATAGTCAACTTACAGCTGCTGAATTTCAAACTGCATTTTTGCGTGTCCATTGGAAAATCGTGTAGTTCCATATTGCATTCAGCAACGATAATAGTCCTAAAGATTATAAACGAAATATCTTAACAGACAGAAAATCGTCAAATGGAGATTGCATGGGAAGGCTATAGAATGTACTGCTGATGTGCCTTCGTGCCCTTGACCGGACGCTGTCACTTGTGGTATTGCGGCCTTGATCATCGAGTCGCTAGCACTACTACACCACTGGCTTGGATGATTTTCTCCTTATTTGGTCCATCCATTATTCTGCCTTGGGCTCAAGACAATAAGAAATAAAAGAATAGAACTCCCCACTCACTGGTAATCTATGAATGACTTACATTCTACTGTAAATGATGTCCCCATTTGGATCTATGGACATCATACTATTAATATCATGATCGCCTTTACTGAGTGTAGAATCTCTCGCGTTATAGCAAAACGGATCAGGCTTCCAGACTTTGGAGATATCGTCACCATTCAGCACTATAGTCTGGTTCGACCTCCCTACCAACCGATTATCATTCCAATACTGGCGAAAATATCCATACATCTTATACTCCTGTTCAAATGGAAAACAAATAATGTCATTTTTTAATAAACTTCCTTTTTTTCCTCAGTTGTGACAAATACAGTGTGTCATCTACAATACGGACACCGAAAGGCGAAGAGGAGGTATCAGGAGGGTATGTGTACCCCTATACTCGCTACCTCAAATTTTGCAAGGTCTTTACGATATTTTGCCATAAAACATTTTCTATAAGCTTAATAAACAGACAATTCTAAATGGATTTGAAAACTACATTGATTTATCTTTCAGAAAATATATACCTTTATGGTAAAATATTGTAAAATACGTGAAGCATTTGACGTAGAGCCTATAGGCACAGGAAAAAAACCCGGATTCCCAAATTGGGAATTGTTGGGAATTTCCTTGAATTCCCAATTCGAACACCAACGTTGGGATTTATTGTTGGTGTTACAATATTAGCTTACGCAGTTGTAATTAGATACTTAGAGAAGTGATTGTTTGATTAAAGAGGCATAACTATTTCCCCACCAACACGAACACGTCTTGAAACAGTTGGGAATTTCCTTCTAATACCCAATAGAAAAACAAAATTCCCAACAAACTAACATTGGGAATCAGTGCCACGTTCCCAATTTCATTCTCTCTGGGAATTGGATGGGAATTAGTTGGGAATTCAAAGAAATTCCCAACAAACTCCCAATTTGGGAATCCGGTTTTTCTTCCTGTGAAGGTCTGTAGATGACCTAATCCCCTCCTGACACCTTTAATATAGCGAGTTGTCTGTAAGGAGAGGTTTAGAGGTTTTCCCCTGGTCGATCCAGAGGTTCTAGTTCGCTCTTTGTCTTTTCGCGACTTCCCGTCAAAAAAGCAAACACCGGAGCCAGAATAAATACCCTCTCGACTCCTGGGTAGGAGAGGTTTTACTGTTAATACAAATGGAGAGACCTGAAATGGCGTCAAATGGTGCAACGACTCACCATTTGTGCTTCTTCTATATTACCAAAAGAGTTCACGTAAATACCGACTCGAACTTCAACGGCGGGCCCTGAATGAGGATCGTAAAAAAAATTAAGTAACTTACTAATTTCAATAGACTACTTGCATGTGGCGTCAAAGCAGCTCAATTTGGAGGACAAAA